AAAACATACTAGGTGATGATAAGGAATTATGTTATTATAGATAAACATATCTTAAAATTCAATGTAACAAAGCTATTTCCCCTAGATAATCTAATCTATATCTACTAGACATACTGCCACAACATCATTGTTCGTTTACACCCTTGAATGGTACACTGATGCTTCAGTACATCTATGTGTAAAACTTTATTTTTTATTTTTTGCATATGACAAATTACATATATACATATATATATATAATATATACATATATATATTAGTCATAGATGTGAGAGATCATTAATAAGTAAGATCCAAAGTGGGAATGAAGTTAAGATTTACATGATCCAAAATAAAAACATTGGCTAAAGGGTGGTCTAAAATAAAACATTGGTAATAAAATGTGGCTCAAAATAAAATTTACTCAATTATTTATGACGATGAGGGAAAATTTACAATAAATTGGTTCTTTTAAAGAGATTATGAAATGCAAGAATTGGACTATTTAGTCATCTCAAAAGAGGAGTTTCCAAACACAACAAAAAAAAGTGGCGTGACTAGGAATGGGTGCCAAACCTGAACCAAAAACGTTTGACGATTTTTCGTATCATCTGGTCTAAAATTTTTTCGTCACTTGGTAAATACTATTTCAAACATATGAGATATTCAAAATACTAATGCAAATCAAGAACACATTGTAACCAATATGTGCAACATCCAAGAATACTGATTGCAAATGAAAGAACATTGTAACCAATGTGTGCAAGATTCAAGAAAACAAATTGCAACATCAAGAAAACATTGTGTGCAACATCCTCCGTGGCATGCCTGGTGACGGTGATGACACCATGAACTCCGCCACCTTTATGTATCCAGCGAGCTCTAGCACCAACTTTCACCCTCTAGTATATCCTAACCTTCTCATTGTCATGGCTCCCCCACCAACCTCACCCTTCGCCGGTTGCTTCTTCATCTCCTCTTCCTCCGGTGAGGAAAGGGTGATGGAGACGGCAATCGCAGGTAGTGAGAGGCGGAGGCCACGGGCAGGAGTGCAACGTGGGTGCCTTTTCTTTTGTTTCAAGAAAGATGTTTCCGCGGTTAATTCGTCATCCGTGTTTGAGTCGGTTTTAATTTTATGTTTTGGTTTTAATCTATATCTCTTCTCTATCTTTACCTATTATAAAAATTTAAGATGTTTTTCCCATGATTTCGTACGTCGTCACTTGTCCAATTATTTGCTCCTGGCGCGCGTATTTTCACGTTGGTGCACGATTTTTTTCCGCGCAGGCACGTACGTATTTTCCGATCGATTCCTTTCCTACATAGTATCCATATTCCTTTCCCATATTGTTCGCACGTCGCTTTTATCTAGGCCCATGTTCCTTGCATTCAGGCCCAAGCCGGGCTTGATAATTCCAATCTATATGCACCAAACAGCTACTAGCCGATTTTGCTACACGTCTATCGTGTGATTTTTTCTTAGGCATTTCACGTTTTTTTAGTCGCACCATATGTGGGCCAAGATTTATGCAAGAATTGGTGGGGCTGCATGCATGGATAAGGCCGTGCGTTGGATGCTTAGGCCTGGTTCTTTTCTAAATAAAAATTGATTTCTTTAACGGTTAAAACATTAAGACATTTGAAATTAATATAAAATTACAGTCCTATATAACTAAAATTACATATGTAAATTTAATTGATATGACATGTAAGTGCACTGTAATTTTGATAAAAATGTTGTGTAAGTAAGTTTGTATTAGTTATTTTATTTAAAATATAAAATTACAGTCCTATATAACTAAAATTGCATATGTACATTTAGTTGATATGATATGTAAGTGCACTGTAATTTTAATAAAAATGTTGTGTAAGTAAATTTGTATTAGTTATTTTATTTAAAATATAAAATTACAGTCCTATATAACTAAAATTACATATGTAAATTTAGGTAATATGATATGTAAGTGCATTATAATTTTAATAAAAATATTGTGTAAATAAATTTGTATTAGTTATTTTATTTAAAATATAAAATTACAGTCCTATATAACTAAAATTACATATGTAAATTTAGTTAATATGATATGTAAGTGCACTGTAATTTTAATAAAAATATTGTGTAAGTAAATTTGTATTAGTTATTTTATTTCAAATATAAAATTACAGTCCTATATAACTAAAATTATATATGTAAATTTAGTTAATATGATATGTAAGTGCACTGTAATTTTGATAAAAATATTGTGTAAGTAAATTTATATTAGTTATTTTATTTTGTCTTCCTTTGGATGCAAATCCAAGGGAAGAAAAAATCTAGGTGATTTTTTCTCAAAAATCACCCGAGTGATGCATAGGCGGTTCCACTACTAGCACATCCGCTCCGTTGACGAGAGCCCCTTTCAGCGGCTAAAAAACATCTACAAATAAACTCCTATCTACATCTACATCTATCTACACTACTTAAAAAATAAAAGATGTTTCCTTCATCCGTCAAAATAAAAAAAATAGCGTAAAAATAAAAAAAAGTCCGACTCCTACCGATACCCTCTCAGAAAGGAAAATTGTCCGAAAAAAATAGCGCAAAAAATAAAAAAATCCGAATCCTACCGATTCCCTATCAGAAAGGGAAAAAAAAGTCCGACTCTAGATCCAATTCACCCTTAAAAATGAAAAATAAAATTGATGTGCCGGATTGAAGATCTGTTTACAAAAACGAAACCTACCTGTCGAGAGCATTCCATTTTTATATGATTTTAATTTGTGGGTCTGTACTTTTGCATTTGAGTCCCTGTAATTTTTATATTTACATTTGAGTCCCTATAATCTTGCAATAAGATACTTAAGGTCGTTTTTGATTAAAAAAATAAAAGGGGAAGAACAAAGGCAGAAAGGTTCATAAAAAGAAAAAGAAAAACCGCACAATAAAAGAAAATAAAGAAAAAGAAAGAACACAACAACAACAAAAGTCTATTTCTCCTAAGTGGCGAAAAAAAACCGCTGATCCGATTCCTATAAAAGGCCAAAAAAAAGTAGTGAAAAAATGTTAGATCTGATTCCTTTAAAAATGAAAAAAAAGGTCTGATTCCTATAAAGGTGAAAAAAATCCAAAAAAACATCTAAAAAAGTTCGTCCGATTCTCTAAGAAGAAAAAATAGTTCGTAAAAAATAAAAAGCTGGTTAAAATAAAATAAAAAATACGCGCGAGAAAAAAATGGAAAGGGTGAAACAAATTCCGATTTCTAATCACTATATATCTCTTCGCTATGTCTAATCTAATCTAACTATTTAAAAAGAGAAAATACAGGACAAAATAAAAACGGTTCAAAGAAATGTGTGAGAAAAGTTAGAAAAAAGCGCAAAAAAAAACACGCTAAAAAGGTTCTCCATCTTCCATAAAAAATAATAAAACGCGCGAGAAAAAATATTTCCATCGTCGGTAAAAAAATTAAAAAAATGCAAGAAAAAACTATCAGAAAAAACACGCCATTTCTAAAAAATGGTTTGAGAAAACCGTGCAAGAAAAAAAAACATCGTCTATTAAAAAAAATCACTCTGAAAAATCTGTCAGAAAAAATGCTAAATTGATGGACGCTTGAGCCGGATAGGATCCATCGATTTTTTGTCATCTACTACACGGCTTTTATTTCATCGGTAAAATTTTTTTTTAAAAAAACATGCTAGTAAAAAATTGACAGAAAAAATGCGCCATTTCTAAAAAATGGTATGAAAAAACCGTGCAAGAAAAAAAATCATCATCTATTAAAAAACAAATCGCTCTAAAAAATCTGTCGAAAAAATGCTAAATTGATGGACGCTTGAGCCGGATAGGATCCATCAATTTTTTATCATCTACTACACAATTTTTATTTCGTCATATATTCTCCTGTATTGGAAAAAACAAAAAAAACTTTCGAAAAGAAAACAAGCAAAAAATGCGCGAGAAAATAATTGTCAGAAAAAACATGCAAAAAAACACACGAGAAAAGAAAAGAAAAAAGGGAGAAAAATATGGTTTTTGTTGTCAGTAAAAAAACAAAAAGAACATGCTAGGAAAAAACTGTTAGAAAGAAATACGCCATTTTTAAAAAATGGTCTGAGAAAATTGCGCAAGAAAAAAAACATCGTTTATAAAAAAACAAGTCGCTCGTTAAAATACAAACATTGTCATTGACATGATTATGCATGAAAAACGTATATTGTCATTAGAATTTTTTCACCCATAGAAACACACGGACATTTTTGCTAGTTATATATATCTATATGTATATCTCTACTATTATAAAAATTGAAGATGTTTTTTTGGTACTTTAGTATGTCATCTGTGTTTAAGTCGATTTTAAGTTCATTCGCTTTGAAAATACAAATATGAATTTGAGTCGGTTTTTAAATTCGTTTGCTTTAAGAAATACAAAAAGAATTGTATAAGAAATAATATCTTTAAATAAACTCGTATGCTAACTTGAGACGATCGGACTCCTGATTGCAGCTTATGATTTTGTAAAAAAAAATCCAAGCAGATTCTCACATAGAATTTCACCTTAGCTAAACCGTATAACAATAATAAGATTAAAATAACATTCATCCGTTGCAACGCACGGATATTTTTTCTAGTTATTATAAAAATTAAAGATGTTTTTGCTGATATTTTGGTATGTCATTCGTGTATGAGTCGGTTTTCAAGTTCATTTGCTTTTGAAATTACATATCTATATTTGAGTCGGTTTTTAAGATCATTCACTTTTTGTGGTAATACAGAAGGAATTATATAAGAAATCTGTTTTAAAAAACTTGCATGCTAACTTGAGACGATCATACTTCTAACTGTAACTCATGATTTTCTAAAAATATATATATCCAAGCGAACTCCCATAGTGAATTTCATTTTAACTAAACCATATAACAATAATAAGATTAAAATAGATTTCATCCGTTGCAATGCACGGGTATTTTTTCTAGTTTGTTAAAAAGTAGTAAATCCAAAACGAAACATAATTCTCCCCTCCCCTAAAAAAATAGAAAAAAAAACTTATTTCGTGGGCCAACTTCTCTTGGCCCATCCACCCGTTCCCACTCTTCCTGCCCGCCGCCGCCGCCGCGACCTCGCCGTCGGCGTCGCCTCCCATCCTCGCATTGCCGGCGGTGGCGGCGGCCCCGCCCCTCCCTACCCCACCTACGATGTTATCGCGATGCGCCAGCTCCGCCGCCCAATGCTCGCCTCGCCCCCACTCCCGCTCCCCGCCTCGCCGCCCCATGGCACTCCCGTCTCCGGCGCCGCCGCCGCCGCCTGTTGCAATGACGACGCCTGGTCAGCTTCGGAGTCAGCTACCATCGACCTGCACCGGCGCAGCCAGCTCTCGTCCACATCAGGATCTCTCTGGTACCGCACCTGCTCTCTGGTCTGGACTTATATGAAATGCTTGATTACTAGTAGTATTCACTTCTTGTTGTAACTTGTATATTATAATGTAATTTGCGTTTTGCTAAATGAATTTTTTATACATATATAATGGAATAAATGAACTGGAAATTGGTTAAATCTAGACAAAATTTTACATATCTTTGCTGATTGAAGAAACTTGAGAGGGATGGTTGTAAATTGTACACAAGGGAGAACATCATCAGATGAACGACCGGTTGGTTACATTTATGTTGAGATACTAGAGAAGATTGAACAAAATCCTACTACTAGCTAATAATTCTCTGTTTATTAAGGAGATTGTAGCTAATGCTTGTTTTCTCCTTGATTTCCACTTGCTCAATCCTTTTCTCTCCTGGTCTTGAAATTGATACCTTCCTTGTGAGTCTTGGTGCACGGAATACCTGTACCAAATCTTGCCAAATTGAGGAAATGCAGTAGCATATATTCTTGGACTCCAAGTGATGACTGGGGAGGCAAGTCAGGCACCTGATTTTTCTCCTGTCTCAAGAAAGACTTCGCTTCTAGCGGATGCTGCTTGTGCTTCACTCTTAGATTCTTAGAGCATATTAACTAGATACAATAGACACATAAATTGTCTGGTGCGAGACTAGTTACCAAGCAATCGATCCCACTTTACACCCCTTGCTAGACTCAGACTGTAATCTAGATCCAAGCAAAACAAACATGGCGATGATCCTGGATGCATTTGCATCCAGCCTTGGTGACATACTCATTGAGACAATGAAAGAGGAGGCAAGTTTGATGCTCGGTGTCTCTGATGAGATCAGAAAGCTGTATGACACCCTGAACAGCCTCAAGAAATTCCTACAAGACGCAGAGAAGAAGCACATCACCAGCAGCTATGCACAAGACTGGGTCAGGAAGCTGAAGGGTGCAATGTATGAAGCGTCTGACATCACTGACCTTGTTCAGATCAAGGCCGAGGAGCGGCGCATATCCATGGACACCTCTTCGGGCTGCTTCCACTCCTTTCTGCTTTGCTTGCAGGATCCTCTTTTTGCCCACAGGATAGGAAGCCAAATCAAGTCAGTTAACCAGAAGATGGATGATTTATGCAAGCAAGCTGCTCAACTAAACTTCATCACCAACCTCACCGATGGAAATGGCAAGCACAAGGTCATTGACAAGACGGCACCAGGGCTTGTTCCTAGAGACGCTGTTGGAAAGAAGCTCGAGCAAGATACAAGGATGCTAGTAGAGGTCCTCACAAAAGAGGAGAAGGCCAGTGGTGGGGAAAGCAATAATGTTCATGTAGTTGCTAACAGCGACACTGAAAGCAACAACGTTACTGTTGTTGCTATCCTAGGTATCGGAGGGATTGGCAAGACTACCCTTGCCAAAAAGATCTACAGTGATCAAGCGGTCGAAGACTCATTTAACACGAAGATATGGTTGAGCGTCACTCAGGACTTTAATGAAGTTGATCTGCTCAGAACTGCCATAGTTGCTGCCGGTGGTGACCACTGTGGCGCTCAAGAGAAGTCCTTGCTTGAGCCAATTTTAGTTAGTGCCCTGACAGCGAAGAAGTTTTTGCTGGTGATGGATGACATATGGAATCAAAAGCCATGGGAGAAGGTGCTTAGAGTTCCAACCATTAAAGCAGGTGCTCGTGGATCTCGAGTTCTGATCACCACGAGAAATGAAGGAGTTGCTCGAGAGATGAATGCTGTGCACTTGCACCATGTCAGCAAATTGGGACCTCAAGAAGCATGGGCCATGCTCAAGGAACAGGTAAATCATCAAACAACAAACCCTTCCTAGCATTATGTATTTTACTCATTTTCTCCTCGATTTGTTTAAAACATAGCCTGAATGCCTGATGCACTCCGAGCTAATTACCTATCAATAATTGCCAAAGTTTGGTTACTAGCAACACTATATATGTTCATCAGAAATATATTTCTTTAATACATAATATTTCTGGGTATGAATTCTCTCTTACAATAAATTCCAACTGCTATAATTCATATGTGCCATTTAATGTCGAACAAGAAAATGTTTTTTTTTTCCAACTAATGCCTGAACTATATTTTTCACATATTGGGATAACTGTTGAATTTATTTGTTTTTATCATACTCTGAATAAGTTGATCCATTCATGGTGACAACATAACTTGAATGTGTTTCCATGTATTATACCACCAGAACATTTGATTTTATTTTAATTCTAAACTTCGTATATAAGAACAAAAGATCAGCTATGGATGTTGTTTTGTTAATATTATATGTTTAAATTCGCAGTTAGACTTGAGTGGACCTGAGACTAAAAGACTCAAAGAAAGTGGGATGAAGATTGTAGAAAAATGTGATGGCTTACCGCTTGCAATCAAAGTAGTAGGAGGAGTCTTGTGCAAGAGAAATAAAACTGAAAATGATTGGGAAAAGGTTCTAGGCAATCAGGTATGGTCAAAAATTGGACTGCCTGATGAACTAAACAAGGCAATATATTTGAGCTATGAAGACCTGGTTCCTAATTTGAAGCAGTGCTTTGTATATTACTCACTTTTTCCTAAAGATGAAATTATTGGTCCAGATAAGGTTGTTGCCATGTGGACTGCTGAAGGATTTCTTGGAAATGATGGAAATTCAACACAATTAGGAATGGATTACTACAAGGAATTAATTATGAGAAATCTTTTAGAGCCTCACGATGACTACTATAATCAAGAATACTGTCTCATGCATGATGTTGTCCGCTCCTTTGCTCAGTATGTTGCTAGAGATGAAGCTTTAGTGGTTGGGGACACAGAAAATATGACAAACCTCACATTATCAAATTTTTTCCGGCTATCTATATCAGCAAATGAAATAGAGTGGAGTAATTTACAAAAACGGCACTCACTAAGAACTTTGTTATTATTTGGAAATATCAAGTTTAAGCCTGGTAATTCCTTAAGTAACCTTCCTTTTCTACGGACAATACACATAAGAGATGCACGATGTGCTACATTGATTGGCTCATTGTGTCACCTCAAACACTTGAGATACTTGGAACTAGGGTACACAAACATATCTGCACTGCCCCAGAACATTGGTAAGATGAAATTTTTAGAGCACATCGGTCTTCGAGGATGTCACAGTTTGGCAGAACTTCCTAGCAGTATTACAGAGCTACCAAAGTTAAGGCACCTCAGTATTGATGAAACAAAGATTAATGCTATTCCGAGGGGTTTTAAAAGATTAGAAAATTTGGAGATGCTTTGGGGGTTTCCTGTCCACATTATTATTGAAAACACTGGAGAATACAGATGTAGTTTGGAAGAGTTAGGGCCTCTTTCAAAACTCAGGAAGCTTAAATTGATTGGTCTAGAGAATGTACCTTATAGCTCTATGGCAACACTAGCTAAGCTTAAAACCAAGGAAAATCTCATATGCCTTGAATTATGGTGCACAAGTGGAGTGACAGTCAGTGGTAGGGTCAAAGAATCTATTGCCATGGCTGATCAGGAACAAATTGTAGATGTCTTTGACAAGCTTTACCCTCCACTCTGCTTGGAGGAGCTAACTATCGGAGGATATTTTGGCGACAAGCTCCCGAGTTGGATAATGATGCCAGCAAAATTCCTTAAAAATATGAGACGGTTGGACCTACAGGACATGGCTAACTGTGCACATCTTCCTTCAGGTTTAGGTCAGCTCCAAGATTTGGACTGCCTAGTAATTAATCGTGCACCACAGATTGAGCAAGTTGGATATGATTTCTTCGTCCAAGGAGGACAGAGGAAAACTGACAACAGGAATCCCAGTCATGCTGTATTTTTTCCCAAGTTACATGAGTTATGTCTTCAAGGAATGATAAAATGGAAGGAGTGGACATGGGAGAAACATGTGGAAGCCATGCCTGTTTTAAGTGTGCTTAATATCAGAAACTGTAAGTTGCACTATCTTCCTCCTGGTCTTTCCTACCAGGCAAAGGCACTTAGAAGGTTATCCATAGCTAATGTTCAGCACCTAAATTGTCTTGAGAATTTCAGTTCAGTTATTAAGCTTGATGCTTATGACAACCCTGATCTAGAGAGGATAGCCAATCTTCCCAACATGCAGAATCTAACTGTTGTTGGGTGCCCAAAACTGATGGTATTTAATAATGTGAAATCACTTCGGAGCATTCAATTGGGGATTAGTGAGATGGAAACACTCCCGGCATACCTGCAAGATACAAAATTGGAACAGTTAGAGATTGCTTGTAGCTTAAAGCTGCTTAAATTGATGGTCAAGAAAGAGTCTTGGTCGGAGTGGGGAAAGATCAGTAATATCATGCATGTTAAGGGGTTTGCTAGTGAAAATGGCAGGAGATGGTATATATCCTACACAAAACACCCCTTCTCCTTTGATACAAATATTGAATATACCCTCGAACTTCCAGGTACAAGATTCTACAAGTTTGTGTTCATTTTGTTTTCTCTTTCATCTCCAGTTCTCCTCATAATCTGAATTGTTTATCTCCACTTTTGCTTATTTGTGCTTACTAGAGGAAACAGGATATGAAGCTAATATCGCAATGGAGAAGATATGAATGATTGTTGTTAATATAACTCTCACTATACAGTTACACTTGAGAAAAAAAAAAGTTAAGCATTGAACTGGCACTTCCTAGTGGAATATGAAAACTCCCCGGCTATATCTACTCGGTACTTATATATCATCCCTTTATAGTATTTATTCCAATTCTCTTACCATTTCTTAACAACCATTTTAGGCTCTTACACAATGTCTACTCACGTGCCTTATTTTTCTTGTGGCAGGAGAAAGAGAGGTGAATATATATAGTTGATGCAATTCATTTTGCAATGGGACTCTACGATCTCGTGCAATTGCAAGATATGCTTTCTAATTGAGAAACAAACTTATTTCTTTTGTAGTTTCAGAATAGTCCATGACTTCATGTTCTCTGAAAACCTTCAATGTAGTATTTTACAATTCTTTTACATCCTTCGGTTTAATTAACATACAAAGAACTTCAAGTGCTTCTAAAACATATCAAACTAGCTAGCTCATTTTTCAAGTTCAGTATGGGTAGTTTGCAACGCCGTAATGTGTGGGGAGCAGCTCCACCATCACTGTTTGATGTATTTGCCTCCACTCTTGTCATGTTTCTAAGCCAAGACAAGGCATATCAACTGAAGTATGGGGAAAGGAAATTGGAATTTTCAAGCAGTTCCACAAGAATGCAGCATGCACATATTGAAACTAAAATAACTTTTATTTCAATCTACTCCCTCTGGGTTGATAATATTTGTTGTTTTGGACAAGGGCTCGGTCTCCACAAAATAACTTTCACCACTATTTTTATAATAATATATATAGAAATATCAAAGAATATATAACTTTATTGAAGTGTTTTTTAAGACTAATCTATTCATATGGTCTTCATATTTTAAGACAAATATTTTAGAAATTATTCATAGTCAAAGATTTTAAAGTTTGACCTCACCCTTATCCAAAACGAGTAGTTTTTATCATGACCTCGCATCATCGATTCCCCTAGAGCTATGTTAGGTATTCAGACTTGAACAGATACATCAATCTGGATGACTACACATCCTTGGAGTATCAGATTCTTCTTTGTTATGCAAACAATTTAAATAACTTTGGTATCCTAAAACTAACCCTGTATAAATAAATGTTTGGTGCTATCCCACCAAATTATGCTTAGATAGGAATTGTGCTTCTGAACAACGGAAAATGTTGGCAACTCATTTTCTTGACTTTTTTTTTAGCATTTACCCTCATCAATAGAAAATTTGTTACATGGATATGCAGGTATAATTTCTCTAAAAAATTGGATTTGCAAGGACAAAGTATCAGGAGCAGAAGATATGTAGAAACTACCCATGATTGTAGGTATGAAAAAAGAACAGAGAAATACAATAGAAATTCCAAAGCATCCTACTGAAGAGAAAACAACTTTGAGTCACTGGATAACAATGGTTTAGATGTTCTCTCTGCATACTTTTCAGATCATATTTAGATAATGGCATGCAGAACATGAACAAGAGAACAATAAGTAGTTATGTGTAGTAACTTCATATAATCATTAATATGACTTGATAAATGGTCAGCACAATATTATTAATGATATAATGATATCTATTACATTATCTCCTAATAAATAGGGTAAATCTCTCTGACAACTGACATCACACCACTGTACATGCCCTTAGATGGAAGGCTCAAGTGAGCCATTCTAGCAAGAAAATCACACCCTCAAACCATGTACAATCACAATAGGGAACATAAAAACGTCACTCTATAGCTGTCAATGCAACTAGTAGGCACATTGTATAAACAAATAAAAGATTAAATAAAATAGCAAGATGTTAAAAGAAGAATGTTTATATACGATAATCTTGCTCCCTGTGCAACATTTTTGCCCTCTCTTCCTTCTGTGAGGGAAACAAAGAATCAGACATCTTTGTAGGGAGAAGTTTGTGCGAGCCACCTTCATCTCGGTGTTCCCGCGGTGGTGGAGCCGGAGTGTGGGATATCTTTGATCGCGATGAAATCCTTTGTCTTTCTTCTTGTTGTTCTGGAGAGAAGTTACGAGGCATTGCAGCTGGGAGAGGAACGTGCAAGATCTCTTCTGATATCCTTCCTTGCGCTTGTTCCGTTTGAGGAAGAAGAGAGTGGTAAGGCATCTTCGCAAGCGGAGAAGAAGCATGCAAGCCCTCTTCTTTCTTGTGTAAAACTCCTCTCCTTGTTGGTTGCTCTGATGGAGGAGGAAGAGATTGATGAAGAATCTTTGCAGGCAGAGAAGCATCCAAGTCGTCATCTTTCTCGCGTAGACCTCTTCCCTTTGGCTGCTCCAATGGAGGAACAGAGTGATGAGGCTTTTTTGCAGGCAGAGAAGAAGCATGCAAACCCTCCAATGGAGGAGCAAATTGATGAAGAACCTTTGCAGGAAGAGAAGCATTCAGGTCATCTTCTTTCTTGTGTAGAACTCTTCCCCTTGGTTGCTCGAATGAAGAAGGAAGAGAAGCACCCAAGTCATCTCTTCCCTTTGGTTGCTCCAATGGAGGATGAGATTGGTGAGGAGGATAGTGATGAGGTGAATTTGCAGGTAGAGGAGGACCACACAGATCCTCTTCTTTCCTCGGCTGGACTCCTCGCTCTTCTCCCTCCTCTTGCTCTTGTAAACCTCCTCCCTTCCCTTTCATGGAGTCTCGCGCCACTGGGGATGGAGATGGCCCTTTCATGGAGTCTCGCACGGCTGTAGTTGGAGGAGGTGGACCATTCATGAACTTCGGTGGATCTGGCCCTAGAAGATGATGATTTGGAGAAGTTTTGTGTCTGGAATGATCAGTTGGGGCATCCTTGCCACAGCAGTTGCCCATAGATAAGCTAGCTTGGGTTCAGTACTCTACCTAGCAAGGAGTATATTAGGAGCTAAGCTTACTTTCTACTTTGTTAGGCAACTGGAATAATCTTTGCTGATAGCAACCGGCACAGCATTCAGGTTTGAGATGCCTAATCATCAGAGACAATGGCAGATGATAGATTAAAAAAAAAAGATATGGCTAACTCCTTAGGCCTTGGGGAAAAGGAAAACTAGACGAAAACCCCTGCGCGTTGCTTTAGGAAATTTGCATAGAAAAATGATAAAGATGATGTGCAAGCCTGCATGGTGGATTTGCTTTATGCTTAATTAGGTGCATTTGCTTGCATTTTGAGACAACTTCTGAAAGCTAAAGACAATAAAATCATGTGACTTCACCAGAAAAAATGATACATTGTTATCCAACTTGCACCTTAAATAAGCCATAAAAAAAACTAGAAATACTTGGGATGGTACGGTGTTGGTTTATGAGAGGAGAGAGAATTAACATTAACAATAATTACTTTTAGCCATTATAGAAGTGTATATGGTAAAGTTGATGCCAACTCAGAAAGAACACTAGCTTACTTACTGAATATTTGGTACAGTAAATTGCACATCTGCGTGCACAATAGGTAAATAGATGTCGTTTTGTACAAATAACTAAGTTTTTTTATACTTCACACAACACTTCTAACAAAGTTCTATTTGCGGTCTACAACCTTATATCATTGGCTTCCAATTGTTGTGTTATATGTGGTTGCACGAGTCATCAAAATATCTCTTTCAAGTCGACATATCATCCACATTTGCTTTAATTTTTTTCCCTTCATATGCTTTGGACCTATATGAGCCATTTAATTAAAGTGATATTTGGGGTGCAATAGCACACTATTCTACTCAAGGTAATGGCAAGAACATTAGTGGACCTTGCAAATGTGCAACAATTCTTTGTTTAAAATGATCTCCTTTTTTTCTAAACAATTAAATTTGTCTGAATAATAAGCCTACCTCCCGTACTTGTTGATGTTTTTGTGTGTGTTTGGACATCTTTTTTCTTGTATTATGATGCGTACTCCCTCCGTCTCAAAATAAACCAACCTCGTACTAGTATGTGTTACATCGTAATACGAGGTTGGCTTATTTTAGGATGGAGGGAGTAACTCTCTTGCGTGTTTTCGAAAAAAAAAAAAAGCCTACCTCACTGATGGGTTATTAAAATAAACAAGTTGGGAGGGCTAGCTAGCTGATCTTACTCTTTATGGAGAAAATCTGTCAGTCTTTCAACGTAAGGTCAATTATGCGATGATCCCCAGCCAAAAATTAGGTGATTTAAATTAAAGTGCAATTCTAGGTATTGCTGACCTCATTGTTGAAAACAAATGAAAAGATGTGTATAGTTCTGAATGCAGAGCACTCTCTCTCACGCACCCTCCTTACTTCACCTCCTTAGCTCCTCGCCTCCTCCTACCTACATTCAACCAAACATTGTACTAGAAAAAGGTAAATATGTGCTTAAGTTAATGTCACAATGGAGAAGATACGAATGATCAATGTTAATAGTACACTAAAAAAAAGAGCTGGCACCTCCTAGCTTTATATCAAAACTGCGGCTATATCTACTCGGTACTTATATATAAATCTTGTATACTATTCATTTCAATGTTTTTTTTTTCCTTTTCTTAACAAATTCTATGTTCTACTCCCGTACCATATGTTCCATGTGGCAGGAGAATGAGAGGTGAACATGTATATATAGTTGATGCAATTCATTTTGTAATGAGACTCTACAATCTCCTGCACTTGCAAGATATGCTTCCTGATTGAGAAACACACATTTGATTCATTTGCACTTTCAGAGTAGTCCATGACTCCATATTCCTCCTAAAAACCTTCAATATAGTGTTTCTTTTTCAATTCTGTTGCATCCTTCAATTTAATTAACATAGAAAGACCATATAATTATCGACTAGCTCATCTTTCTTGGTTCATTTCTTCATTTCCTACTTGAGTCATGCTTCTCAACCAAGACAGGGCATCAACTGAAATATGGGGAAAGGAAGTTGGAGTTTTTCGAGCATTTCAGCAAGAATACGGCATTTGCACACTGATATTAAAATATTTGTACTTCAATATTGTTTTCATCGCGACCTCGTATCACCGATTCCCCTATAAGAGATATGCTAGGTATTCAGGTCGATCAACTTGAACAAATGCATCAATCTGGATGACTATGCATCGATCCTTGGAGTATCCGATTCTTCTTTGTTATGCCCACGATTTTAATAACCATGTTTGTATCCAAAATCCCTGTATAAACAAAATTATGTTTGGTCAACTACACCAAATTATGTTTAGATTGGAATTGCACTTCTGAAAAATGAAAAATGTTGGCAACTTATTTCAAAGAATTTTGTTTCATCACATCTACCCTCATCAATAGAAAACTCAGTACTTGGACATGCAGGTAAAATTTTCTCAAAGAAAGGGATTTGCAATGCCAAAGTATCAGGAACAAAAGGTATGTAGAAACTTCCCATGATTGTAGGAGTGTAAGAAAAGAAAAAGAAATTCCAAAGCATCTTACCGAACGAAAGCACTTTGAGTCACTGGACAACAATGGTTTAGCTAGATTACTTCTCCAATCATGTTTAGATGATGGTATGGACAATATGAACAAAAGAACAATAAGTTGTCTATTAGTAATCTGTACTTCTGTAGTGACTTCATATAATTCCCATACAACGGACATCAAACCACTGTACATACCATTAGATGGAAGGATCAACTGAGCTATCACAATAGGTCCAAGAAACAGAAAAATGTCACTCAATAGTTGCCAATGCAAACACATAGTATAAACAAATATTTTTTTTAAAAAAAAATAGCAAGATGTTAAAAGAATACTCCATCCGTTTCAGGTTATAAGATGTTTTGACTTTGATCAAAGTCAAACTGTTTTAAGTTTGACTAAGTTTCTTGACAAATATAGTAATATTTACATTACCAAATTAGTTTTATAAAATTAATAATTAAATATATTTTTATAATAAATTTATCTTGGGTTAAAAATATTACTATTTTTTCTGTAAATTTGGTTAAACTTAAAGCAGTTTGACTTTGAACAAAGTCAAAACATCTTATAACCTGAAAAGGAGGGAGTAGTGTTTATATACACTAATCTTGCTCCCTGTGCAACATTCTTGCCTTCTCTTCCTTCCTTGAGGGAAACAAAGACTCAGACATATTTGTAGGGAGAAGTTCACGCGAGCCACCTTCTTGTCGACGTAAACTTTTATATATCTTCTTCCCGCGTTGGTGGAGTCGGAGTGTGGGAGTACCTCTGATAGAGAGGAAATCATTTGGCTTTGTTCTTGTTGTGGAGAGAAGTTATGAGGCATTGCAGCCGGAAGAGGAGCATGCAATGACCTCTTCTGGAACTGTTCTTCTTTCTTGTTCCACTGGAAGAGGAAGAGAGTGATGAGGCATCTTTGCAGGCAGAGAAGCATCCCAATCATCTTGTTTCTTGCGTAGAACTCTCTCCTTTGGTTGCTCCAATGGAGGAGGAGATTGTTGAAGAATCTTTGTAAGCGGAGAAGCATCCAAGTCATCTTCTTTCTTGTGTAGAACTCCTCCCTTCGTAGATCGTAGTAATTGGTTGCTCCAGTGGAGGAGGAAGAGATTGATGAAGCTTCCTTCTCTTCTTGCTCATCAGAACGGCGGTGAAAGGACTCGAGGATATCATGTGCGTGGTTGTGTTGTACAGGATCATCACGTACAAAATTACCACGCACAGGCACAGATGGACCAGGCGGTGAATCTGGCACTTGAGGAGGGATTTGAGAAGTGGGTTTCTCTGGGGACTGATCAATTGCAGCCAAGGTAATAAATAGTGTATAGCGGGTTGTTAACGGATTAGTGTCTGTGTAGCGGATTGCGGATAGGGGCCGCTAGTGCGGACGCTAAGTTCCAATAGTAAATATAAGAAAATAACCATAAATTTATATTATATATCAATATTAACATCAAGTTTCACGTAAAAATTAGAATTTATAATACATTTTTAATTACTCATATATTTCATAACATAAAAAATATGAATCAACATATAGATATATAAGATAAATAAGATACACAATGTAAAGTTCTACAATCCATATGTGAAGAACAACATTTAAGCGTTATAACGGTCCAACAAAGTCAATAGCGGATTGTTATAGCAATCACGAAGCGCTATAACGGGCTGCTATAGCGGTAGCGAAGCGCTATAGCGGGCGCTAAGTTGCAACATGCTATCTTCAGTCCGCTACCTTGTAGCGGTAGCAGTAGAGGTCCGCTACCGCTATAGCGGTCGCTATTGCGGGCGCTACGAACGCTATTTATTACCTTGATTGCAGCATCCTTGCAACTGCAGCAGCAGCAAGAGCAACAAGAGCTGAGGCAGTTGCCCATACATAAGCTAGCTTGCATTCAGTACTTTTCCTGGCAAGGAATATATTAGGAGATAGCTGCCTGCTACTTTTGTTATACAAATGGAATAATCTTTGCTGATAGTCACTGGAACAATATTCAGCTTTGAGATGCCTAATCATTAGAAACAATGGCAGATGATAGGTTAAATAAAAGAGCAATTTTACCATCCAACATTTGGTACCTCTAGAGGTACCACATTTTGCACACAAGATTTTGGTACCTCAAGTACTAAGTACCACGAGATACCAAATTTTACACTAGAAAGTATCTCGACGTACCAAAAATTTACGGTAACTCAAGGTACCAAATGTTAAATGGTAAAATTGCTCTAAATAAAAAGATATGCCTAGCTTACTCCTTGGGCCTTAAGAAAAAGGATTAGACAACAACTCCACGCCTTGCTACTTGCTACAGAATGCATGGAGGAAATTTGCATAGCAAATGCTAAAGATGAGGTGCAACCGTGCAAGGTGGATTTGTTTTATGCTTAATTAGGTGCATTTTCTTTGTCTGACAACGTCTGAAAGCTAATTAAAGACAATTAAATCATGTGCCTTGACCAGAAAAAGTACATTTGTATCCAACTCGCACCTTAGATAAGCCAACAAAAGATTAGAAATAATTGAGAGGGTGCGTGTTAATGAGAGGAGAAAATCAAGATTGGTAATGATTAGTATTGGCAGTTATATATGGAGGTGTTTGGTTGCTAGCTATATACTTTATCACAATTTACTGATTATCTGGTAGCATGAATTGCATGTTTGCATTGCATGCACAATTGGTAAAATATGCCATTTTGTACAAACAATTAAGTTTTTCATATACTTCAAGCTTCTAAGACAGTTCTGTTGCAATCTACAACCTTATATCATTATCTTCCAGTTGTGCTATATGTTGTCAAAATGTCTCCTTCAAACGGAATGAGTGTAGCT